GCAATGGCTCCAAAGCCGAGGGCCGCTCAGCCCCGCCGGCTTCGGCTTGCCCCCCATTATCGTCTCACCGTGCTCAATCTGTACAACCGACATTTGCCTCTGCAAAACCAAAAATCAAAAACAAAGAACTTCAAAAAAAACCTTCTAAAACAGCTTAAATTCCCAACAAAAACGAATCAATATATCTAAACACTAATACACACTACTCCATTCCAATTGCCAAAAGAAATGCTCAAAACGAAAGATGTTAACGATTACGATCTCAATGAACTCTAACAGACACGAATGATACACACTACTACATCACAATTACAAGCTCGTAATAAACTCAATTGCTTTTCGTTTCCACTTTCCCATGGATTCTCAGCAACCCAACAAACAGTCGTAGAATATAATTAGGTGAAAAAAGAAGAAGAAAGATTTGAAGAATTTACGATCTCGTCCGGGCTGAGGATGCCGAACTGGACTGTACGGACTTTGGCTACCTCCGCCGGCGAGAAAGGGAACCGGATATCCATGGCGATCCGAACAAAAGAAAAAACACAAAAAAAAAATATCCTAGGGTTTCAAGGTTGAATTCAGTTTGCTAAATAAATGAAAATTCTCTCGGTTTTTTTCTTTTTTGGCGCTCCAAATTAAATTCGTTTTTCGTTTTTTTCTTTTTTTGAAAGTTTGTGCGTTCTTTTTCGGTGGTTTTTTGCTGTTAATTTTGTAGAGAGAGATGGAGGGGGAGAGAGAGAGAACGCTAAGAACTCTCACGCGAGGAGAGACCAAACAAATGGAACTCGGAGTCCCTAAAGGGTGTATTTATAGACGAATAGGGGTTGATTGCAGGGGTAACGACTTACTTGAAAAGACGAAACTGTCCTGATTGGATGATACTTATGCCCCCCCTTTTTTCTTTTCCTTAGTGGACTCATTGGTGTTTCGGCCTGTGGTCCAATCGGGCTCGATCCAGTTCAGTTGATATCCTCGTGTTGGACTGGATCTTATTTTGGGTTGTATCTTTGATTAAAATAAAATTGAATTTATCATGATTAACACCTTTTTATTATTAGTATAATTATTTAATTAAAAAGGTTATGAATTAAGAGTAAAGAATAAAAATTCTAATTTATACACTTTAAAGAGTATTTATTAAGATTATCTCAAAAATAAACATGATTCTTCGTGATTATATGTTGAGGGTAAAAATAACATTTACCAATTATGCTCCCTATTTGATTAATGATTAGGGTTTGATTAATGATTATGGTAGAAATGACATTTCACATCTCATAAAAGGATCTCATAGTACTAAAAAATATTTTTTAAAACGTCAAGATACCCACGAGATATTATCAAAAACAGAGAATATCGAACTCATAATTTGATATAACACAGAGTACCAAAAGAGATAATTACACTACAAAGTAAGACTTTATATATCGAATTCAAATTTAGTAAAAATACAACATGTTATAAATATAGTAAAAATTATACGATAATTATCACAATGATATCACATTTTCTAATATATAATTAGATAAGCACTATTTTAATACTATCAAGTTTTTCTATTTTTATTAATTAAAAAAATTCTATGAAATATTTTATAATATTTCAAAAATTTTGTTATATTTTAATTTTTTTTATTTGAACATTTTCAGAAATTTTAATAAATAGTAAATTTTTAAAACTAAATTAAATAAATAATAGATTCTAAAATATTTGAAATAAGCGCAAATCTTTTTACAACTAAATTTACGTAATAAGAAAATTTTATATTAATATAAAATTTCTAATTTACTATTATTTACTTTAAATAGTTTTAAAATATGTTATTTACCTCAATTACTTACTTTAAAGGGTTATTTATAAAAATAACACCAATGGAACAATTATCTTACAATTAACACAATTTTTTTATACTTTCATATCAAATACTTCCACATCAATAATTGAGGGCTTGTTCTTTTGGAGTTTAACTTGAGTATAATTCTTAAGTTGAATTTGAGTTATAACTTGAGTTTAACTTGTAACTTGAGTTTGTGTTTAGTTGTGTACATTTGAGTTATGATTTGAGATAAGAATCTTTTTGAATTTGTGTTTGAGTGAGTCAAAACTTGAATTTGTATTTAGATAGTATTTTAATAAAAACTCAATGCTGATGAAAAATTTTAATAGGGTATATGGGTCGGGTTTTATTCGTCTTTTCGTTGTCAACGCATAGAAAAAAAAATAATCTCAATGAGAAATAAAACGAAAAAGTTATAGCATTTTTAAGAATAGAAAAAATACTGTTCACAAATTTGAGTTCGAGTTTCTGAACTCGAGTTGAAGGGGAAACTTGAACTCGAGTTTTAGTCCTAAACTCGAGTTTGAACTCGAGTTTAAACTTGAGTTTAAACTTAAAAGAACATGAACTCGAATAAAGTTGTAACTCGAGTTGCATTTTTTTGAGTTTTTCACTCAAAAAGAACAAGCCTGAGAGCCCCCCACACAGAGATATATATATATATATATATTGTCTGGAATACCCTTTATAAACCTTAAATCTGCTTTCCTTCTAATTTTTCTTATCCCTGTCGCCTCCTTTTCTTCTCTTCTTTCCATTTTATCTGGTCTCTATTTCTTCTCCTTGTTTCCATTTTCTCCATCATCTTCATCATACCGAGAAAACGACGATGTAAGCTTTATGATTTCTCCCAGACAAAGTATAGAGAGAGAGAAATTTAGTAAATGGCTCGACTGATTTGATTACTATTGAACTGAAGCTTAAATACATCCACAATGTCTTAATGCAAATTAAAAAGAAATCAATTTGAGAAAATGTCAAAAAGTTGATTTTGATGCAAAGAAACAAGCAAATTGAACAAACTCACTTAACAGCCTCAAAATGAGTCAAGCAAAGCGTTCCACTAAGACAAACTTAAAATTAAATTTTTTTTTTTCCATATACCACTAGATCTTGAAGTTTTGTCATTTCAGAAAGTAAGCATTTGAATGAGCAGAAAATAACCGAATTTGACAACGAAGAAAGAATAAAAAAATCGTGAAAATTAAAAAAACTTTATTGGACGTCAACAACAATTTCTGACAAATCTGTCATTGTCAAAGTCATTGCTCTCCGTATCATTCTTAGGTGCGACACTTTGCTCCGCTCTTTGCGGTCGTCCTTGGTGAATAAGAGGGAAGAGAAAAGAGAGGGAAAAAAATTATCTAGATTTTGCATATGAAAAGAGAAGAGGAGAGAGATCATAGAAAATGAAAAAAAAAAAAAAAAAAAAAAAAAAAAAAAAAGTTTTTGTCGTGAAAAGGAAAGAGAGAGAAAGGGGAAAGAAGAGAGTGGTCAGGTGTCTGCTAAGGGCATTTTAGACAATGTGCATACATGGGTCTTGATGTGACAGTATCAAAAATAAAAATATGAAAAAATAGTGTCAATCATAAGATAATTATTTTAAGAGGGCTTTGTAAAAATAACTCAATAAAAAGTTTTATTAGTAAAATAATTTTTTAAAAATTTTTATTTATAAAATGATCACTTTTTATAAAAAATGATTATGTAGTCCTTTTTCATAAAAAAATAAAGAAGATTATTTTACTAATTTTATTTTGTTAAATAGTCATTCTAGCATATTGCTCTTATTTTAATCAGATCAGTGTTATTTTTGTAAATAACCCTACTTTAAATTTCATTCTCCCGTTTTAATTTTGCTATATGGGTAAAGAGCCCAAAACAAAAAGTCGGCCCATATAAGTCTGGCAGGGTTCATTTTTGTCTCTGCACTTCGTTCACCATAGCTTCCCTCGACGGCTCAAGTCAACCCCAAGCCTTCAAAAAAAAAAAAAAAATACAAATAAAGTGGTGTTTAAAATTAATTTCGTTTTTATTTTTTATATTTTTAAAAAATAAAAAGTAAAATTTTTTTTAAAACAACATTTAACGTAATAAAAATAAAAAATATAAATAAATATAATTTTTTAATTTAATGTAAAATAAAAAATAATAAAAAATAATTTTTTTTTTAAATAGAGAAAGACATTATTAAATTTTTTTATATTAAAAATAATTTATTAATAAAATTATTAAACAGATTTTTAAAAATTATTTTGTCTGAAATTAAAAATATTTTTATTTTTTTTTATACAAAAATTATTTTAAAATGAGTTTAAACGCGCCTAAACACAAAAAAAAAAAAAAAAAAAAAAAAAAAAACAAAACGTTCAGGAGAGGAGAGTGAGAGAGACGACGGAAAGAGAATCAAATCCACTTGAGCTCGCGGTTTGGAACCAAAAACTTACTTTTGCTTCTGAGATTAGAGAATAAATTGAAGATAAAGACCCAAATGCTGATCTCTAGGGCTCCTAGTAATTCTTCTATTTTCTCTCTCTTTGGGATTTTCAGATCCATTTTCGCTCTTATGCTTCTGGTAGTAGTGGCAATTTTGATTCTTTTCCCCGTTTGGAGGAATTGGTCAAAGCACGATGTAAATCTGAAAACCTAACATTAGACGAAGCTTTGGGTTACTTCAATTCCTTGATTCAAATGCGACCTCTGCCCTCTATTTGGACTTTCAATCAATTGTTTGGTGCGCTTTCCAAGAAGAACCGCCATTCCATTGTTGTCTCTATGTACAGAGACATGATGGGCTGTGATGATTTTCAACCCAGTGTTTGTACGATGAATATTGTTATCAAGTGCTTCTGCGGTTTGAAGGTGGTGAATTTAGGTTTCTCTGTTTTGTCAACAACGATTAAAAGCGGGTATTCAACCAGATGCTTGTACAATGAGCACTTTGCTTAAGGCTCAATGGTTGCAGCGACGAAGTTGCTCCAAGAAATAGTAGAAAAGAAACACCCGTGCAATGAATTCACTTATGCAACTGTCATTAATGGGTTTTGTAAGGTTGGAGAAACTTGGAAGGCACTTAAGCTGCTTAAGATAATGTGCAATGATAAAAGGATTAAACCCAATCAATGTTGTTTTAGTCCGGTCATTGACTGTTTCTGTAAAGAAGGACGGATGTGTGAGGCTTCGAGCTCGTTTCAAGATATGATGGTGTCCTACCAAATGTTGTTAGCTGTACATCTTTGATACACGGATTGTGCAAATTTGGTTGCTGGGAAGAAGCCAAGAGAATCCTAGTTGACATGCGCGACTGTGGAATCTCACCTAATATACGGCTCTTTAATCTATGGATTGTGTGCCATTCAAGCCAACGGAGTGAAGCCATCACGTTGTTTGAGAAAATGAAGGACCAAGCTATTTGCCCGGATGTAAAAACATACAGTATTCTTGTGGATGCTTTTTGCAAAGAGGGAAGGATGCAGGAAGCTCTTGTTATGTTTGGCCAAATGATCCGAAGAGATTTAAATCCAAATATCGTTATTTATAGTTCATTACTTAATGCATTGTGCCTTTCAGGTCAATTGATAAGGGTAAAGAGTTTCATTGATTATGTGGTGATTCACGATATATTTCCTGATACGATAACTCTAGGTGGCCTTTTGAATGCTTTTTCTGAAGAGGTATGATGGATAAGGCCCAAAAACTGTTTCAAGAAATGATTCAACATTGTAAAGAGCTAGGTGGGAATGTGATAATTTACAACATATTGATTAAGGGGTATTGTTCGCAAGGCACAGGAGATCTTTGAACAAATGAAATCAAAGGGTATTGTACCTTATGTTGTTTCCTACTGCACATTGGTTGAAGGCTACATAAAGGTCGGAAGAACAAACGTTGCTCTCAAGCTTCTCAAGGACATGATCCAAAAAGGGTTTTTGTCTGATCATATACATAGAATGCGACGAAGCTTGAAGAAGATTCGTGCTAAAAGGCTCTAAGCAAGCGTTCAATAACTTTTATTTTGTGGAAAATTTGTGTTGATCGCAATGTTGTAACTTATTTAATCTGCTATGTCTTGTTAAACCTGAACTCAATGGATGCTGCATGAAGTATAATGTCGTATGGATCCTCCCATATCTGGATTATTCTGCTTGGCTTTGTCCCATGGTTTTATTGTTCTGCTCAATACTAATTGTACTTTTCGTGTACTTTGATTTAGGGTGGATAGTAATAAAGCTCTCTCTTTTTTGAAATATTAATTGGAAGCATTTTGGCATGCTTTTTTACTTTCATGATAATCACTTGTCAAGGGAAACATTGCAATTTTTTTGGGAAATGACATGCAAGTTGATGATTTGAATTTTTTGACATGTTTAGGGTACAAGCGACATATGTTTGAACAAAGATAGGCTGCTCTTTTTTGAAAAAAAAAAAAAAAAATAACAAAAATGAAGTTTAGGCATTCTTGAGCTCGCTTCGTTCCATTTCGGAGTTTGGATATGGAGTTCATCTTATTGTTTGGATATGGAGTCGTAACTTTGAGGTGCTGCATAACGGTTCAAGTTCTTTATACTTTTCAATTCGCATATCTAGTCTTGAAAACCTGTTCTTTTGGCTTATTCTTGCTTATTATCTTACTTTATGTAATTTGTGTTATTGACATTTGCTTGAATATTCAAAGGCAGTCTGGTTTAGCTAGTAATATAAAATATGCAAATGTCTAGGTGGAGTTGTTAAGTAAACAAAGCACGTTGTAATTTATTAGGATAAGAAGGAAAGGAGAAGATAAAAGAGAAACAGAATATTTATTGATAATGATATTTACTTTAATCTCACGCCCTTTTTCTCTATTTATGTACTTCCTTTTTTTCTTCCTTTGTATATGATGTAAATGCTTGAGCTTTCTAGCAGTGTAAAATTGAAATTTGAATCTCATAGATTCTCATACATGTTATGTTGCAAGTGGTTAATGGTTTTTCTTTTTAGATCAGTTGAGAGTATGGGATTTGAATTGGTGGATACATTTTGGTCTGCCAGTGTTTTGGTCTCTAATAGGACAACTTGCTCGATCAGGACCCAAATAGTTGTGTGAGAATTTGTGATTACAACAATAATTTAGAGGGCAAGCAGACAAATTCAGTAATGAAGGCAAGCAAAAAAAATTCAGTAAAAGCCAATCAGTCAAAAAAAAAAAAAAAAGAAGGGCCATAATGGGAATAGAAAATTAAAAGACACCTACCTGCTTTAAAACGTTTTTATTATATAGTAGATAAATGGTCAAAATTTTGTAAAATTAAGAAACTGTTTTTTTTTTTTTTTAACTAATTTGGTTTATTTGATTAACTTGGTAGTTAATGACGGATTAATTTTAATTTATCACTAATTAATTATTAACTTAATAATTTATCACTGATTAATCTATATCAATTAGTGATTTAAGTAATACTAGTTAATATTAATCAATTGCAATCAACAAATTATCAATTTATTATCATCAGTAAGTTAATGATAAACTAAATCGGTTTATCATTGACTGATCACGGTTTATCACTCTACAAAAACGGTCATTCCCAAAAACAAAACAAAACAAAAAAAAAATCAACCATTTATCTAAAAACAAAAAAATGTTTGGTCATTTATTAAAAAAGTGGTAGAAAAGTGGCCATCTACCTAATTTTCCCATTGATTTTTTTGTTGGTAATAGAAGTTTCTCTCACATGAATTTACTGTTTAACTCAAGTTTTTAATTTGAGCAGACGAAACGAACGAAGCCTAAATAGGACTAGCACACATTCCACAATCTTTTTTTGTTTTTTGTTCTTGAATCGATGTTTATTCATTTTATTTTCATTCCTTTTTGAATTCGAATTTCCATATGCACATTGCAATGACCTTTCTTTATATAAAAGTAGACGCCATATATAAGTTACATTTGAAGAATAGAAACAAATCTCAACCTTAGCGCGCAGCGTCGAGGTTGAGGTATAACATTTACAAATGAGTTCAATTAGAGCCAAATTCCTCGTTCCACTTTTCAAGTTCTTCCCACTTGCTTTTGTTTAAGCTTGGTCTGATCACAGTCATTGCCTTCCGAAAGTCATCGTATCTTAGCGGTCTTACCTGGTTAACAAATATTAACAATTAAACATACATGAAATATAGAATTACACCAAACTATCCAAACTAAATTTGTCATTGGAGACGAAATTGAAAAGGACAACATATTAATTAATCAACTTAGCGCCTGTTTGGTTCACGCATTTGAAACTAACTTAGAAAATTTGAAACTAACATATTAATTCTGATTTTGCTACAGTATTTTTCTCTCACAAAAAATTTGAATAAAAAAAGTTCCCGCCAATAGATTCTCTTAGAGAATTTGAATTCAGAATCATAATCACTAACTTAAACGCATAAACCAAACGGGCTTTTAGTCCAGACAGAACGAATGTCAGAGAACCTAGGAACTATTGCTCAAGTTCTGCCCTATAACAAGGGATTTGAATACCAAATTAGCTTGGTGAGCATTCCCAATAACTTGACGATGGGATACTATGAAGGAAGCAACTGTTTGAATCTAAAGTTACAAAATGACAACTTACCTGATTTGCCTTGACGGTGAGAATGGTTTCACCTAACTCTCTAATTGGCATCATAGCAGCTTCTTCACACAAGGCTTGCAGATCACTCCCAGAATATCCTGTAAGGTAACCGCGTGATAAAGTCAATATGATTGGAATGATAATTCTTTTAGTTCATTTGCGCTCTCATTTGATCGACATTCTGCAATACGTTATTGAAATTTCACATTATAGATTCAAGAATTGTTTTGCCCACTTAGCTTACAAGTTTAATTCCTTCAGAGGCTACACCGATTAATTCCCCTGGCTGGGTATTTTCTCATTTATTCTTGTTTAATTAGATTTCCACCCTGAAAATTTGCTTTAAAAATGAAAAAGTCCCAGAATAAAGGTGGCACAAATATCTTAAGCAAAATTTACAAAAGCACCAACGTTAGAAGAAGCCAAGTGACTCAAATTTTTTTAAGTTGCTCCAAAAAAAGTTATTTAGTGTGCTCATTCCACTGCAATCTGAAATCACAACTCAAATTCTTTTACTGCAGTGTTTTCTCTCAGAAAAATTCAAATTCAATTTTTTTGCTACAATGTTCTCTCTCACATAAAAAAGTTTGAGTTGTGAAAAAAAACATACCTGAAAACTCTTCAAAAGCTATAATGGAAAATGATCATACCTTCTGTTTCTCTTGCAAGTCTCTCTAAATCTCCACCTGTCACAGTGAAAAATTAATTATCATTTCATACATGAACAGAACATTAAACCACTGAGATAAATCAGAGTATTAAATTAAGATAGAGCACATAAACCAGAGCACACTCATTCACTTGAAAAGACAAGAAACCAACAAAATTTACAACTAAGGGGCGTATTCTTACTGGGTAAGGAGAATTCTTGGCCCTTGAGTTTGTGTCTAAGAAGAACTCTTCTAAGTGATTCATCTGGTAACGGGACGTATATTCTCTTCACCTGGTTCAAAGTTTCATGTAATAAAAGTCACATTAGTTCACTTAAAAAGAAACTTGTATAAAATAGAATTAATCCATTACTTAAGCTATCAACAGTGAAATCAATTGCTAAGTATTTTTGTCAAATAATCATTCCAAGCTATTTCTTTTTAATTGCAATATTTGTTGCGTTAAGCATATTTCAAATAATTTTAATGATCCACACCATATCAGATTCGGAACATAGCTCTATCTCCGATAATTAACAACATATAAACATGATCCAAAGCCAAACAAATGATAAATATACGTAAACAATTATATATATACATATTTGCTTAAAAAATCTTACTAAATAAGCAAACTAAAATGCAATTTCCTCAAATAAAAAAGATGCAGCAGGCTGGACAATATACGTACCAATCTCCTCAGAACTGCATCATCGAGTTCTTGTGGCTTGTTAGTAGCACCTGCAAATTAAAAGAATAATGCATATTTACACAAATCATATGCGTAATCCAAACAAATTAAGTAAATTAAGCCCAGCATGCCCTATCTCATCTATCTGGGTTTATAGTGGGTAATAAAGTAAGATTTTAAATTGAGTCTAGATTCAAGAATCAACCTCCATGCTGAATAAACAGATACAACGTTCATCAATTGCCAACAATACCATCATTAATGAGATTATCTCAACAGTTTGCCTCTTGAATAAAAGAGGCAGTACCTTATTAGAAATGCTTATTAGAAAATTTGGCCTTCTAACTACCGAGTACTTTTTCTAATAATTTTCAATTACCAGCTTTAACGAACTGCTCAGAATTTTAACATCCAAGTATAACATCTGTAAGATCTCTTGGCAAAGGTAAAAGCAAGGTTTTGAAGAAAGTCCATTGAGACTAGACATCAGTTACAAGAAATGGCCCTAATAAAGCATATTCGCATATAATCAAGAATTAAAAACATAAAGCTTACCAATAACAATAACTAGATCATTATGATTAGAAGCCACCCCATCAAACTGAATTAAGAACTCTGACTTTAACCGTCTGCTTGCATCATTCTCATTAGCCTGCCTTGTTGACATCATACTATCAATCTGCAAAGTAAGTTATTTTGAGAAAGGTTAAGAAAGCCTATAATCATATAAAAAAATCTAGAAAAGGGCTGAATAGTTGAACATTGAATCTCAAAGGCTTCTAATTCGTAGAACTATCAACTTCAGCATACTGTGGAGCAGAATCAATAACAAGCAACAAGGACAGCATAATAATAACTATAAATTTCAAATTAGAGATTGAGCAAAAACAAAAGAGCATACCTCATCCATGAAAATTACAGAAGGCTGTCTGGACTTAGCAACCATGAAGAGAGTTCTTACAAGCTTTTCAGCTTCTCCTACCTATTTCAGCAAAAATAAGCTTAGTAGGGTTTCATGATAATAGCCATGAGGAAAGAAAGCTACAATCAGCACTCAGAGACGCACCCATTTTGATGTCAAGGAAGATGCAGAAACATTGAAAAATGTCGCCTCTGATTCTGAAGCAACTGCTTTAGCTAACATGGTCTTCCCATTACCAGGGGGACCAAAGAGAAGCAAACCTAACAATGCCACGAAGTATTCTCATAACATAAGATTTCGGGTGCTTCACCACTCTTAGAGCGGATAAGGTTATACCAAAGCATTACCTCTAGCTGGCCTACGAAGTCCTGTAAATAAGTCTCTTCTTTTAGTCGGCAAAATAACCATCTCCATTAGGGCTTGCTTAGCTTTCTCGAGACCAGCTGAGAAAAAGAAAATCAAATGAGTAACGCAATCAAATTTGGCATGATGAGAACATGAAAGGGAACAAAAAATCGAAAGACAAAGTGCAAGGTGTATTATAAACATCTTACCAACATCTTCCCATTTAACGGAAGGACTTCTATCCACTATTGACGTATTTATCATTTCAACCAATTTTGCTTCATAATTACCACCAGAATCAGGCATGGGTTTTGTGTTTGCAGTACTATGCGTCTTATTCCTCACCACCGGATTGTTTGTACTGGGATGAAGAGACTTAGGCAAAACAGGTTTCCTAGCGTTTGACGTTGTCGATGCAACTGTTGTTTTTTGGGCAGGAACTAAGTTGTTCTGCAAGTATTTTGAATTTAAAGTACGTTAAACTTAGCCAGTATCAAGCAAGACACCCTGATCCACACACACAACATTCGCCAAAATCATAATGAAGATGCAAAACAGTGTATGAAATAACAAATTTGAATATTCAACTATGTTCCATCATAGCCTAACATCCAATGTAACAATAAAGTTGTTAATATATCTACAAGTCTCAGGTAGGCATGAGAACAACTTTGAGAATTCGATCCTGCACTTAGTAAATTCAACCCCTAATAAATTATATTGCTATTCTTACTCCACAAAAATCACATAACAAGAGATCATGCGGCAGCAGTTATGGATGGTTGCTAAATGCACACCATTTTTTCGCATTACTAATAGGGAATTACAAGAAACGCAATTAAGTTTCAGTAGAAAGAGAAAAATGGCATTATTTTTGGTAACCACTTCAAGGCAAAAAAAGGAGAAAGATCAGCCAGATCAAAGCATACCTTATTAATGGATGTCCCGCCTGAAACAGAAACTGCAAAACAACAAAGAAAGGATAAAAAATTGAGACTTCTACATTACCGCCAGTGGCTTTGTTTCGAACACTAAATGTGTATCAGATTCTATCAAAAAATTTCATTTTTGATATGATTTTGACCAAATCTAGCTTCGAGAAACATGCACTACTACCCGGCACAGAAAGATCCAAGAAAAAAACTTGCAAGCAATTCACATATAAACCACAATAAACAATTACCATGAAAATCAAAATAATTGGATATACAAACCTGCTCGTCTACTTAAAGTTTGCAATCTCTCAGACACCTGACCCTGCCATTTCGATATCTTTTGACGATAAGATTTCACCTTTTCCCGTTCACTGCCAAATTTTGTAATCAATTTTCACAAACCACTTCTAATAATTCTCAATCATACAGCAAAAAAGAATGTCTTTTTATTTATATTTTTGTTTCCCTAATTGCATTTTACAACGATCGTGAGACTTTCCATATTGAATTGATTAAAAAACTTCACTGACACATCAATTTCATACACCCTAGAATTGCGAAATACAACGATCATGAACAAATAATCTAGAAATGAGACATTTCCAAAACCTATCGCTAATAAAAGCGCTTCCTTTACAAATAAAACTAAGAGATTGATCAGCACAATTTGTTAAACCCCAGAATTGAGAAATACAACAATCAAGAACAAATAATCGAAGAAATGAGAGAAATTCCCAAACCTGTCGGTAATAAAAGAAGGAGTAGGAGTCGAAATAGCTTCGACGAATATGCGCTGAGCGTTGGTGTAGTGAGCAATGGCGTCGTCGACTACGCCCCACTCCTCAGCCCTAACGGCCTTGTCGATCTCTTCCTTGGCCAAATCGAAGTAACCCTTGAGCTTGTACGCCACGCGCTCGTTCGAAATCGAAGCTCCGGCTTCCATGGCCGGAGAATTGGGGGAGCTAGGCTCCTCGTGGGGCTCGTTCGGGGACAGGATCGAGCTCAGAGAGTCAACGATGTCTTTTAAGAACGACATGTTTGGGGAAATGCATAGTGGTTTTAGAGAGAGAAAGTTGAGAGGGAAAGTATTCTCGCCATTGCCGGGCAAATTGTCGTTGGCTTTCCCGGAAAGTAATCGTCCGATTGGAATTTAACTTTGGAAGTAGAAAAGAAAAATAGAAAAATTTCAGAGAAAAAAAAAATGGCGTTCTTTTGTGTTTGGGGGATCGTCGGAGGAGAGTTGGGGAAGAAGGGGAGGGACTCGTTCGCCGTGGGGTGGGCGGAGCGGGGGTGGAGGATCTAGTTGAAATTTGAGCTATATGGGCTGGGCTGACCCACAGCTCAGTTTCGGTCTGAAATTGGTCCGACCGGCCCATATGAGAATACGGACGGGCCGATCGATCGAGATGTTCGAGTCAGGTCAATAGTTGGTAGGCTTGACTCAAACTCAACCCACATATAACTTATATTAACTTTTGGAGAGAAAATAAAAAATACCATCAGTAAAATAATAATATTTTTATTATTTTATTTTTGTTACTGTTGTTAAATTTATCTTATGTTATTAAGAGTAACTCCAATTATGCTAACTATTTTATATTTCTAGTTAAAATGGTTAAAGATTTAGCTAAAATTTAGCTTTTTTCACTCCAACTATTAATTAAATGGTTAGTTATTTTGGATAATCCATTTCACACTAGTTAAATATAACTAACAAGAAAGGGCTAACCATTTAATTTTTTGTATTATTTTATTCTTTCAAAACATACTAAATGCAAAGGTTCTTTCTAAAATCAATGAAGTTATTTATATTTTTAAACTCAATAAATATCAAAATAATCTATGATTAGCTAAAATATGGAGTATGGTTTGAGTGTGTCACCCAAAAATTATTAGCTAAAATAGTTTTCTAGCCATTTTAACTAAAATTTAGAGAGTCTCCTTGGAGATGTTCTAATAACATATAAATTATATTTTCATAATTTACAGGTTATATTTCATAAGCTGCAGGTTATCTTTCATATTATGTAGGTTACTTTATGTAGTGGCATCAAAATTTTGTATAATATAATACTATAAATAATAGAGTTGGAAAAAAAAATAGTTAAACTTGAAATGTGCTCTTAAAAAATTGATTTTTTAGTTCTAAATGTACTATGTTTAATTTCTTTTAGGTTTATTTTGTTTTATTTTTCAATTAACTAACATTCAAAATACTATTCAATATAAGTTATTTAAGGTAATCTTCGAATTTTAAAAAATTTGACCAATAAAGAGATTGTTTTATAAACCTTTTTCAAAATACAAATAATTTTTTTAATTGGGAGTCTCTCCCATACACCACACTTTTTAGGACCATCAATAGGACACATAAAAGGAAGGTTGACCGTTATCCCATTGAATGGAAAACGTGTGCCACACGATGATACAGTGAAGAGTCACCTATAATATAGCTCGCCCGTTTTTGACAAATTTGGGATTCATATCTGACCCTTTGTTCCCTCTCCCTTTTCGCACAAACGCCTTCTTCGCCAGTAAGATTGACATTCACCTACAACGAACTGGTCTGCAGTTCCATGACCCCACGTTCTGTCGCTACGTCCGCCCTTTCAACGATGCGTTTGGGATCACTGCCGTCATCTAGTCCACATCTCGGAGTATACTACGCAATTGTAGCAATGATCCATGTGAACAGTTCCACGCTGCCACTGACATTGCCTCCAGCGGGCGCTGATACCGGTGGTCCTAAAAGGTGTGGTGCACGAGAGAAACTCCCTTTATAATTAACAAAATGAGTTACTTTTGACATTTGTATAATAAACAGGATAAATGTCATATTTAATAAAAATATAAGCATATTTAGGATACTTTTCTCTCTCTTTAGTGTTGTTGTTGTTCAACACCAATTTATTACCTTTATTTGTGAAAAATAATCCTACATTAAAAAAATTCCTAACGGTCTACTTTAGTATTTAAGTCAACAAAGTTACATTTAATGCTTTAGACTTATAACTAAAACCTAGTGTACTGCAACCCTATTATGAGGAGAAAAGCTACTAGGATATTATGTTTCTATAATGTGTGACAAATTAATTATAAGTTTGTTATGGCATTTGACTTTTATTTTCGAGCTAACAATAGGTAGAAGGTAGCCGCTGAGGAATTGTGACTAACTTTGTGGCATTTTTATATTTGATAGAATGCAGTCCTTTATCGTAAAGAACTACCTAATACACTCATAACCAAATAATAATAATAATAATAATAATAATAATAATAATAATAGCAAAAAAAAAGAATCCCTTGTTGACTGGCTCGAGAGCCAAAGAATAATTATGCCACGGGAAAGGAATAGAATAAAAGAGATGTGCAAAAATGATCCTTGTTAAAGTATATTTTTATTCAATGTGTTTGTTAATTAAATTAAAAAGGGACTTTCTCTGATGTTCTTTATTTTTTAAGAATACCGGTATTTTTTATTTATCAGTTGTCGAATTTGTATTAAATATGATTAAAATTTAAATCAGATTAAAAAAGTAATACATATTCGACAGCTAATAAACAAATAGCACAAATGTTCTTAAAAAAATGAAGAACACTAGAGAAATTTTAAATTAAAAAAGTGAAAATATTTGATTTGATAATTTAAATTAAAAAAGTGAAAATATTTGATTTGATAATTGGTACTCGCCGGTTTGTTTTGAACCAAAAAAAAAAAAAAACACTTATACTGATTTAAAATTATAAATATCAGAGGGTGATTCTACAATGGAGTGGTATGAGCCATTCGATGCAAATAAAATGGTAGGATTTCAACGGTTAATATTAAAAATGTACCTTATCAATTCAAAAAGTGCATTATGGCACATTAAAATCATTTTATTAGACATTGAAATATCTTTTCTACAATTTCCATCATGGTACTTTATTTATTTTTTTGGGAAAAAAAAAACATTAAACATACATATTAAAAAGAGAACACCATATTGTTTTAGGAATTAACTGGAGAAATTTGAATCTTCTTTAAGAAACCTAAATTCAAACTTCATCATTGTTAACTCTTTTGACCCGTAGATTTCAACAACTACAAGTTCGAATTGAAGGTTCAATGGATTATACTTCGAGTAAAATTGGATAAGTAGGTGAGATGACATCAATAAGTTTTTTGTTTAAATAAAAGAAAAATAAAATTATGAACTAAAATTTGTTTAAAATCCAACTATTCAATGATGCCGGATGCGCATTTTCTTCGTATGAATTTATTAAAAATAAATAAATTTCATTAAACGGAAGTAAAAATGAAAGTTAATTGTCGATTAATTAAAATTTAAATGACACTTTAAAAAAAAAAAGATAAATGCTTGTAGTAGATAGAAGAGTGAAGTCAGATTTTAAAGGACTTGTTTATTTGCATTCAAATTTTAAAAAATTTGAATTCAAATTACAACTTTATTAAAGTTCATGTTCTTTTATAAAATTTGAATTTTAACTTGAATTTAGAGCTAAAATATGAGTTTAAGTTCCCCCTTCAACTCAAGTTATTAAACTCAAACTCAAGTTATTAAACTCAAACTCAAGTTAATGAATAATATTTTTTTTATTCTTAAAAACGTCACAACTTTTTCATTTTAATTCCGATTGAGATGATTTTTTTTTCTATCCGTTCACAACGAAAAGAAGAATAAAACTTCACCTATATACCCTATTAAAATTTCTCATCACTATCGAATTTTTATTAAATTACTATTTAAATATAAATTTAAGTTTTGACTCACCTAAACACAAACTCAAAAATTTTTTTATCTCAAACCACAATTCAAATGTACACAACTAAACATAAAATTACAAATTTAATTTAAATTATAACTCAAATTTAACTTAAAATTTATATTTAAATCACCATAACTAAAAAATTAACTGAATCAGTCCAAAAAAGCCTCAAAATTCCAAAGTACATCTTTTTCAACTCTCTCCCTCCCCTCTCAAAAAAAAAAAAAAAAAAAAAAAAAAAAATCTCTCTCTCTCTCGATCCCTCTCCAATCTCTCACGTTAAACGGGCTCTCTCTTTTTTGTTTTTGTTTCTTTATTTATACACATTCCAAATTTCTCAATTTTTAATTTTATAAACCAGCGAAAAAGCGCGTAGTTTTCTTCTTCGTCTTCGTCTTCTTCAGGAGTTTCAGATCTCCACTTTCCCCAGATCGATCTAATTCTCTAGGGTTTCTTCACCAATGGCGAAGATACGCCACTCTCGTCTCCAGGGCCGAAAATCTTCCTCTTTCTCAACGCTCACATTCACGATGCTCGTAATGTTCAGTTTCGTCGTTCTCATTCTCGTCGCCCTCGGAATTCTCTCCGTTCCGAGCAGCTCCGGCGGCGACTCCACCCACAAGCCCAACGATCTCAGCTCCATTGTTCGCAAGAACGCCGATAGGTTGAAATTTCGCTTTCAATTGATGAAATTTTTTTGCATAATTTGACTGTTTTTCTTTGAATTTGGATGTCTGACTTTGGTGATTGATAATTTCGGCTTTGTGATTAACAGAAGCGAGGGAGATGAGGGGAAAGGGGAACGCTGGGTCGAGGTCATCTCATGGGAGCCTAGAGCTTTCATTTATCACAATTTCTTGGTCAGCCTTTTTCGTAAAAATTGCTGAATTTCTATTGAATTTTGTTTTGTTTACTGTTTCTAGCTGATTTTGTATTTACTTTTAAGCAATTTAATCCATAATGCATCCTAATTTTAGTCAAGTTGATGTCAAGTGCACTCTAATTTTATATATTGGATTTTCTCCTGCATTATTGAAAGAAGCTTATATATTTTATGATTAGCAATGGGCTTGATAAGAGGAAATCATGGCTTTCTATGCTATTAAATCCAATAAGTAGAAGCGTAGTTTGTTATGTTGTACATACTTCATAGTGAAATTCTATATCTTAGGTCGATTAGAATGGTTGGTTACCGTGCAACTTTTTAAAATTTATTTCATGTGGGAGTTTTTGGTATCTAACAGTTTATTCGGTCGAATTTGTGCTCACACCTTGCTTTGATTAGTTTAGTCACTAAGTACTTGAGTTTGTCAATTAATTATTTTGCAGACCAAGGAGGAATGCGAGTATCTCATCAATCTCGCCATGCCTAACATGAAAAAATCAACAGTTGTTGATAGTGAGACTGGAAAAAGCAAAGATAGCAGGTCTTTGTTTCTTGCTTTTGTTCCCATTTGCAACTCAACTAAAATACGTTTTGGTGGTTGGAGTTTCTGTTGCAATTACTGTTGTTTCATTTGCTTCTCAAACCCCCCTTATGCATGACACGGTTGCTTTACTTTTCACGTGCATAGGGTACGCACTAGTTCTGGAACATTCTTGGCCAGAGGACGTGACAAAGTCATTAGGACGATTGAAAAAAGAATTGCTGATTTCACCTTTATACCCGTAGGTATGCAATGAAGTTTTTTTGTGTGTATTTCTTCTTTTTTTTAATCCTTTTCGTTGTTCTCAAATGAAATTTGTCTGCAAAATTGAAGGTGGCCCTATACCCCCTTTTGTTTTGTTTATTCTTTGCTATTGTTATCTTATTTTAGTCGTGTCATCTAATTCACAAGTTATTATTAAACGAACAATGCAATATACAGAACATGGTGAAGGACTTCAAATTCTCCACTATGAGGTTGGACAGAAATACGAGCCTCACTTCGACTACTTTCTTGATGATTTCAACACACAAAATGGAGGTCAACGTATGGCTACACTTCTTATGTACCTGTGAGTGACTTACATGATCTTGGTTCTGGTAAATCTTGTAGTGTTTTTTTTTTTTTTTTAACTTTTTTTTTTCAATGTTTCCTCTTCCATTCGTGTTACAGCTCAGATGTCGAAGAAGGGGGTGAGACCGTGTTTCCTGCTGCAAAAGGGAATTTTAGCTCTGTGCCTTGGTGGAATGAGCTATCTGATTGTGGGAAAAAGGGACTTTCTGTTAAACCTAAGAGGGGTGATGCATTGCTTTTCTGGAGCATGAAGCCTGATGCTACTCTAGATCCATCCAGTTTACATGGTTAGACATTTTCTACTGAATTAATATAACAACCAATAGTCTCGAATTTGTAGTTCTAGTTTAAATCATTCTTATGCTGAAATGCATTCACTTTTGAAAGAGATGGGAATGTCATTTTTTAAGTCTTTGATTAAATAGTGAAAAAAAAAAGCTTGATGAAAAGGTTTATTTAATTAGGAGCTGTATTGATATTCTTACTGACGATGTCTCATTTCTCCTGGTTATTTTCAGGTGGATGCCCTGTTATTAAGGGAAACAAGTGGTCAAGTACAAAATGGATGCGTGCCAACGAGTACAAAGCTTGAAATTCTAAAGGTACCGTCCGTGCTTAATTATATATTATGAAATCATTGCGTGTATATTTTGGATTAATTACAAAAATTTCCCCTGAACTATGACCCATGTAACACTTTGCCTCCCGAACTTTAAAAAGTAACATCTGTTCTCCCTGAAGATTGAAATGTTAACAAAATAGCTCTTTCCC